TGGAAGGCGCGGGCAGCGGCGGCTCCGAGTGGCCGCGGCGGTGGGCTGTGCCGAAGTCTCCTCCCTTTGGCCCGCCGCAGGTTGGTGGCGGGAGGAGGGGACGGCCGCGGGCGCGGGGAGGGGGCGCCTGCTGCGGGGGCCATGGCCGAGCCCGGAAGCCGGGAGCCCGAGACCTGGGTAACTGCTGCGGCGTCGCGCTTGCCTGTCTTTAGGGGGCGGTCGATCTTTGGGGTGCGCGGCGAGGGGCTGAGCGGAGGAGGCGGCTGCAGTCTAGGAGGAAAGGCGCGCCCCTGCGTTCGCCCTGAGGCTGGCTGTGCGCAGCAGCTTGGGGCGGCCTGCAGGGGGAGGTCGGGGTGAATGGTGGGTGGGGAGCCGTGGGTGGGCGTGGGGGTCATCAGGTGCCGCCAGAGTGGGCAGGAGGGAGCGAGGAGGGCGAATACAGTCCCACAGAGAGGCCAAGGCCAGCTGACCCAGAGGCTCCAGGAGGAAAAACTGGCAGAGAACTTCCGGGAGTGAAACGAAACTAACATGTGTCAAGGCCTGCTCCGTGAGGCGCTCTGCTGGGCGCTCCCACGGGTGCTACCTGCTGCCCACAAGAACCCCGCGGGGTCGGCCGGAAACTTATTTAAAGACCCGAGAGAGAGAGGCCGGCCCACGCGTTGCCAGGGGCGCGCGGTGGAGTTGAGTTAATCCCGGATCTGAAGCCCACATGTCGCGGGCTGCCTTGGTTTACCGTGCTCATTGCCAAAGCCTCATGCTTTAAAAAAAACTGCCTTTGTTTTTAATTTAACCTATTTAATTGTAAGTGTATATAATTTAACTTTTAACAGTCTCTGTTTAAACAACCATTTGGCATAATTCCTGAAACTCTAACAACTAGTTCTTGCAAGCTGGTGGGACCCCCTGCCCCTGCTCAGCTTTTGCATATGCTGTTACATGTGCCTAGAGCTTTCTCATCCCCCTTTTAAAAATTCTTTTTATTCTGGAGCCGGCTTGGTGGCGTAGTGGTTAACTTCTCGGGCTCCACTTCGGTGGCCCGGGGTTTGGATCCCAGGTGCGGACCTATACACAGCTTATTAAGCCATGCTGTGGCAAGCGTCCCACATATAAAATAGAAGAAGATGGGCACAGATGTTAGCTCAGGGCCAATCTTCCTCAGCAAAAAAAAAAAAAAATCTTTTTATTCTGAAATAACTATATTCTTACAGAAAGTTGAAAAAATTTACACTTTGAGAAGCATTTACCCTGTAAATCCTCTGAGCTTTGTGCTTTGCAGTGGGGGACAGAGGGGATAGAAGGACAAGGATGGGGAAGTCATTGAGGAATGCCAGTCTGACTGGAGCCCTCTCTGCCACGGCCAAACCCCAGCTGATGGCCTGGGACTCACACTTCCCCTAGTGCTGTGTATTCACTCCTGAGATGGGCCTGGGGCTGTCCCCTATGTCCTGGAGTCCTTCAGTCCTCCCAGAGCATCTCCACCCACAGTGATCCAGGCCTGCCAAGCACACAGGGACCTGGTCCCTGCCCTTCAGTGACACACACAGCCTGCTCTCCCAGACCCTCTTCCACCTCCCACAGTCCTTTGTGAGAACTGCCAATCCAGCAGGGAGGGTGGGGCAGGATGACCTCCGACCTCTGAAGTCCCCCCATTCCTGAAATTCTAATTCTGCATTGGCTGCTGTCAGTTCAAAGGCCACCTATGAGAGTGACTTGGAAGAAATAATGAGATTTTATTAAATAGTTTTTAATGATTATTAAAAGCAGCCATGTGCAGTGCATCATGATGGCCCCTCTACATTCATGATTTAATTTTCGCTCTAAGAGGTGAGGGTTGGAAGCTTCATTATAAGAAATGGAAACAGCTCGGGGAGCCTAACTTGTCGGCCCTCACACAGCTCATTAAGCAGTGGACTCGCAGTGGGATTTGCACCGACTTTGGGGGGCTCTGACTCCCACACCAGGGTTCTTTCCACTCTAAATGGATCATTAGGGGAAAAAAATCAAGGAGCCCCAAGAATGGTGGGGAGCAGGGGCTATTGTGGCTCACAATGGGTTCTTCAAGAAGAGGCACACGGCATCCCCCAGCATTATCTAGCTGTGGGGTAACCCACAGAGACTGGGATCGCCCCTTAGCCAAAGCCCCCTTGGCAGCCTCCTCATCTTGAAGGTCAAGCTTCAGTTTCCTGGGCCCCTGAAAAGGTCAGATCAGTCTGGCCTTCCCCCTCCTCCAGGAGGCCTTCCCACCCCCTTCTGCCCCCATCTCAGGCTGAGGTAGCAGCCCCTCTGCTCACACTGAGCTCCAGACTTTCCTCAATTACCTTGTCTCTTGAGCAGGCCTGTGGCCTGTCTTTACCCTCAGGGCCTAGCAAAGTCGAGGGTGTCTCAGTGTCCAGCACAGGGCCTGGCCGTGTGCGCGAAGTGGGTTCCTAAAAGCCAGCCTGTGATGGGACTGTGGGAGGGGGCTGGGCACAGGGTGTCCCACTGTGGACTCATTAGGCCCTGGTCATCATTGACCCGGGGCTGGGGAAGAAGTGCAGCCTCGGGAGGTGAAATCCGCCTTGGAATCCTGAAGTGGCCCCTGACCAGCTCTGTGACCAAGCGCAAGGAGCTTCTTACATGTCTAACTGCCAATCGCCTCATTCACAAAACAGGCATCTTAATACACCCACTACTAAAGCCGGGCCCACTGGCACACGCCACAAAACGCTTGTTCTCTAGTACCTACCCTCTTCCCCTTGGTGGCAGGACTGACTGGTATGGATGTAGAGGTTGTGCCCTGCACAGGGGGTACACAGCTGGGCGGGCAAGCGGGGCTGACCCACTCATCCAGCCATGTGCTCTGGTGGGGGTCTGCCTTTCTCTGACCTGCACAAAGGCACCTAGCGGACCAGGGGCTGCCTGCACAGTGGCTCAGTGCATTTGGAGCATCCCGGCCCTAGAAGGCTGTGGGCTGACATGCCACAGTGTGCTGACGGGCTGGTGAGCTGCTGGCCCACAGAGGAGGGGAGGGGAGAGGGAGTGAGGTGCCAAGTCACTGTAGCTGCTCCTACAAGAAGGTCCAGAGAGAAAGTTCAGGTTCAAGGGGCAGAATCTGACCTTGCGGGACTCCAGCGCCTGCACAGCGCATGTCGGTGAGAAGTCTGGATTCTGGTGTGCGACCGCCTAGTGGGAAGCCGGGCGCCACCACTTCTTAGCTGGTGACCTTGGTCCACTCAGTGCACTTCTGTGAGCCTCAGTGGTGCCCTCTGGGAAACAAAGAGAATAATACCAAACCTCTTGAGGCAACTCAGCAAATAATTGGGAACCTACTCTGTCCTGCAGTGTCCTAAGGTATTGTGAGAATTAAATGGCACAGAGCAAGGACTCAGTAAATTCCAGCTACTGTTCCTATGAGGCCGCTTATGTAAATGTTTGATGAACGAGTGAGTGAATTCTGCCAGGGCCCTTGCTTGGTTGCAGGTGAAGCTGGGCTGCGTCTTAGGGAGGGGCTGAGACTTCGCCCCTACTTGCCTTAAAGCGCCAGCAGGGCCTTCAGGTCCGGCCTACCCCTCCCCAGTAAGCAGCGGTGAGGAGCCCCCACCCTGGCCCTCTCCAAAGCGTCATGGTCATTTGGTCACTCTCCGCTGTGTATATATCCAAGGTCTGGCGGGGGAGGGCAGGGGAGACCCGGGTGACGTAAGTCTGCACCTGGGTTCACCAGCACTGCTTTTCTGCGTTCCCTGGACTCTGCCCTCCCCAGGCTCCACCGCCCCATCCCCAGCCCCAGCAGCGGTTCTCGCCCCGGGCGGCCTCTTCCTCCATTCCCTCCTCACACCCCCCCTTGTCGCCCAGGCCTGCAGCCCCAGTGTCGCCGCCGCCATGGCCCCGCAGCAGCTCTTCCGCGCGCTCGTGTCGGCGCAGTGGGTGGCCGAGGCGCTGCGGGCCCCGCGCGCCGGGCAGCCCCTGCAGCTGCTCGACGCCTCCTGGTACCTGCCCAAGCTGGGCCGCGACGCGCGCCGCGAGTTCGAGGAGCGCCACATCCCGGGCGCCGCCTTCTTTGACATCGACCAGTGCAGCGACCGCACGTCGCCCTACGACCACATGCTGCCCAGCGCGGCGCACTTCGCCGAGTACGCGGGCCGCCTGGGCGTGGGCCCCGCCACCCACGTCGTGGTCTACGACGCCAGCGACCAGGGCCTCTACGCGGCGCCGCGCGTCTGGTGGATGTTCCGCGCCTTCGGCCACCGCGCCGTGTCGCTGCTGGACGGCGGCTTCCGCCACTGGCTGCGCCGGGGCCTCCCGCTGAGCTCGGGCAAGAGCCGGCCCGCGCCCGCAGAGTTCCAGGCCGCGCTGGACCCCGCCTTCGTGAAGACGTACGAGGACGTCAAGGAGAACCTCGAATCACGGCGCTTCCAGGTGGTGGACGCCCGCGCCGCCGGCCGGTTCCGGGGCACCGAGCCCGAGCCCAGAGACGGTAACAGCGCTGCGCCGAGGGGCCCGGACATCGGGTTTCCAGTCGCCTCACTCTCTAAGCCTCGCTGGCTTTATTCCTCAAGTGGGGCAATAATACTTGCTCCAGCCCCATCCTTGGGGTTGTGCTTGGGGCAGTGGCTACTCCACATTTGTTGGGCACCCAGGGTGCCCTGTATAAGTGTGAGAACCCAGATAGCCCCACCCCAATACTACGGGTGTAGAGGTCACTGCGGAATGGGAGGGGTCGCGGGCAGGCCCAGTTTGGGTAAAGCCT